ACTTTACTCCTTTAGCTTTTACTTTATCTTTCACTACTTCTAATTTTTTAGCTTTTATTTTATCTTTATCATTCATTACCTTAAATGCATACATTTTAGCCCTTAAACCAATAAAATGTGTGATAATTTTGCCATTATTTTCATCATTCATTAATCCAATAACTTTTTTATTTGCTAAAGGTTTACCCCATATATTATCTTTCTTATACTCTAAAGTATCAAATTTATCTATATCCTCTTTCATATGTTTATAAATATCGGGATTTTTAAAATGATATATTAAACTATCAGTATCAGTATACATTAACTTAGCTTGTTCAAGAGGATATTTTTGAAGAATATAATTATAATGAAAATCTTGAACATAAATTTTCTGCAATATCGAGAATACAGAATCCAATTTATATAGACTTATTAAAAATTACTTTCATTTTCTTAAGTCCTATGGCAACTAAATTTTCATTAAAAATTACTCTAGAATGATAATTAGGTTTAGATATGTAATAATTCGCTCCGTAACGTTTTTTCCATTCTGTAACAAGTTTTACATCTCTATGTTTTCTAACATTTTCCATAGTTTTACCGAAAACAGTATCATTCATTAACTTTTTTTCAAAATCATTTCTCGCTTCTTTTCTTTTATCTGTATTCAAATCTATATATGGCTTTAGTCATCGAAATTGTTCAAATGTTAAAACTCTATGTATATTTGTTACTTTTAATCCTAATTCGATACATTGTAACAAATTGCTGTAGTGAATAATATAATTTTTTTTATCATGGAATGAAATTTTACGATCATTGAAATTAACACAATCTTGAATATGTTTATCATAGGATTCTTTCGTGTGAAAGTGATTCAAACAACGGTGACAAAGATCTATACTTCCATTTTGATTAGATAGTTGACTCGATACTGAACGAGAAAGCGATTTAATAAGCGGGTAATGGTAAACTGGTTTTTTATTTTTATCTACTCCTATCTCAGAAATCAAAAGATGAATCCGATTTCTATTGATATCCTAATATTAAGTTAAAAATACCGGTACAATGTCATTATCATCATCTTAACCGTAAACATTATTAATTAAACCATATGATTTCCCGAATTTACAAATATCACTTAATGGTGTTGGAAATGAGATTCCTGTTATTTTCAAAGTATCAAAATGTTCATTATAAATTGATATACGATTACTAAAACAGCTTTTTTTTTTTAATGAACTAGGAAGATCACAATATGTACTTTTTTTTTGTGTTTTTCCTCATATATCCCGATCCTTCCACAGGTGTATACCCATTAATATTTATCTGTAAGCTTTGTTATGATTGATAGTATCCAATTTTATCAGTTATTGATTTTTCACATTCTTCGAAAAAATTTTTTTAATTTAAATATTTAATTTTAGGATATCTCATTACATGAATACTTAGGCGATTTTTTAAGCTCTGCCCAGATCAATCAATTTGAGATTGGTAGATACTGCTGCGGCTGCTGACAATGATGATATTGCTGAAGTCGATGATGTTGCTCCTGAGGACGCTGTCGTTGTCGCAGCAGGTAGAATTAATCTTGAGGATGTTGTCATTGTTGTAGATGATGATGATGTTGCTATTAAGGATGTGGTTGTTGTTGTAGAAGATGTATTATTTATCACACCACTACTCATTAGTTTTTCAAGTTTCTTGTAAACACTTTTAAAAGAATTATAATCTTCATGGATTTTCGGTATTAAATTTCCAAGTTTTTCAGATGCGAGTTTAACTCTCACAATAATGTTTGAAAGTTTAAACTTTTGAGATAATGGTAATGATGGATATTTTAAATTATTCCTCACTAATATTAAAAATTTAGTTGCTAAATCTAGCCAACGTCTAACTTCATCTCCATCGCACTGCTCTTGTTGCTAAAAATAACGACGAACATACTCTAATTGTAAAAGTAATTAATTCGCTTGAAGTTCATCGTATACTCACTCATTTTGACTGAGTGAAAATTGTGTAGCATGATGGTTATATTCGTATTTTGATCTTTGTTCACTAACCCGTATAGATATGAAAAAATTTATTCGATGAATTAAACATTAAATATTTATTGAAAATAAAAAAATGTTTAAAAGGTGCATCTCACAAACATTTCCCATAAGACTAAAACATCAATAACCTCTAAGATGTAAACCCCCCCCCTCCTCCTTTTTTAACCGTAGATGTAAAGGGGAAAGCCTATGGATTGAATGGGGAATCATTAAAAAGTGCATCAACGTTCCCTTCTAAATGCGTGGGGGAGGGAAAATGAAAATTCGTTGGTGAAGGAACTGTAAATTTTAAAAGTAGTAGGGGTAACAGTTAATAAATTTAGATAAAAAAATATTGAAAGTTCATCAACGCCTCTATAAATGCAAGGGAGGAGGAAAAGTCGAAAACGTCAGTTAGCAAAGAAAGGGTAAATTTTAAAAATAGTAGAGATGAAATTGGAGTAAAAAGTCCTCTAAAAGCTGAGACTTTTCGGATAGAAAATCGCTCTCAAACGAAAAGTTGTTTGATATTTCATAATCTCTGTACGCTGAAAAATATCTTTTTTCTTTGTAAATAACAATGGATCTATCAGAATACAACAACTCAGCCAAAAAAATTATTGAAACAAAGAGAATAAAGGATCTGGAAGTATCCAAAAGATAAGAAGTGACGGAATTTAATTTGATTACAACCAAGTACGGTAATGCTGCTGTGGCAACTCTGGGCGACGAGTTCTGAGTTTTTCTTTCAAAAAGAATTGCCAAAGTATTGGCAGCAGACGATAGAAAACAAAATCTCGATTTTCAAAAGGCATGCACGAATAATCATTTATACATGGAATATCATGAGACTGGATGAAACTTATTTGAATTTTTGTATGAGTATGTTCCCGTCGGTATTTAAAGTTTATTTTTAAATAACTTAAGTATAAGTTTTCTTCAATATTTGAATTGTTCAATTGTATAACAATTTTTTTATTGCATATGCCAGAGATTCATGTACTTTTTCTTCTTCATCAAACTCACTAGTTAATTTAATTATACCAATTGCAGTATGGTTTCCACAATTGGACCGAATAAGCTCAACATACAAACCTTCTTCATTAAGGGATCTCTATGAATATCCAGATGGTCTCAAGTCCACATTATGTTCAAACGCTAATTTTTCCGCTATCTGTACATAACAATCTGCTGGTCGACAAATATGACACTCATTTTTCGGTAAAATGACGATAGACAAATTTAACAACCAGTTTACAATGATTGTATTTCACTCACGATCGAAACGTGACTGATAGATTCTTGACTTTGGTTTTCATGTCTTATACAATTTATATATAATGATTTTTTTCTTCTTTTCCCATCATTCCTCGCTTACTTGAAAATATAAATGACACATGATTTAAATGATTTGAAAAGACACATGGTTTAAATAATTTGAAAATATTTTTTCAAATCTATTTTCTAATAAATTATTTAAAAAACCTGCTAAATGTTAAATTGAGGGCGTGTAGATGAATATCTATGCACCACAAAGGTAAAGCTTATCTTTTCAATTTTTGTTAATTCTCTGGTAAGAATTTTTTTTTAACGATCAAAAACACCTTACCTCAGGAATCTGCCCTTAACCCCCTACCTAAATCCTACCTCAACCCCCTGCCTCAATGCAACCGAAGAACCCCCTCACTTTTCTCGTCTACAGCTATGAGAGTTCTACCACAGCGCTCTATAAAAAAAAAAAATTGTGGTAGAACTCGCATCGTCCACTCTGGTAGCGTTGTCAAACAGTCAAAAATTAGTACAAAGTTATGTATATCCTTTCCTATTTTTATAGTATCGATTAAAACATTTTCTACTGTGTTACATTCATATCTTCAAATATATATTTCGTTTTGCAATACTAAAATGCTGTTTGTTAGATGGAAGAAACTATTTGTAGCAAAATATGAACGATATAAGACGATGAAACATGTTTTGAAAATCAATTTGATCGTTGAAGTATCATTTACAGTATTTGATAATGTTGAAATGAAATTTTCTCACAAATTTCATTCATATCCAAATTCGCGAAAAAAGTTAAACATCAGTTATGTTTAATCCACAAAAAATAAAATTACCTACGAGTCAGTGTATATGAAAATGTGTTTTAATTTTAGACATTTTAAGCTAAATTTAAGGCAAAGTAAGACTTCAAAAAAAATTTGACTCTGACTCTTCAACATCAGACGCTTCAGAGATTGAGGACGAAGTCTCACTGACACCTTAGACAGCCGCACCGAGGTGAAGCATTCTTCTGTTCCGCCCTTCTGTCACTGCAGAAACCCCTCCCGAGGGCGCCAATCAACAAGATTCCACCAACAGAAAGGGTAATTTTTTCCGGAAAAATACGCTCTCTGCAGAACATCTAGCTAGTGCTAACGAAGATCTTGACCTTCGGGTACTAGATGGTGTAGACCTTTTTGCACGGAATAATGCATTCTGTGATGTGGCTAGAGGGTTTACTCAGGGCAGACGAACACCTGTCAATCCTGAGTTGAGCCTGAATAGACGCATCGAACAGACTGCAAATAAGATCGAAAAGGCTCGACAAGGTGCATCTCGTATTCAAAGTGTGATGGATCACTTAAATACTCGCAGGCCTTATACGACAAGAATTCGGCGTATCGTGGCGAGTATTAGACGTGAATACGGCCGTGTTACTGATCCTAAAGGTATACCGAAAGGCATTTGATACCACATCACACGAGCTTCTCCTCTACTTGCTCTGATGCCGCTCTCGAGGAAACGTTTCACCGTAACATCTGGTGAAACAAAGTGGCTACCAGAGTAGTGCCATTTAGGAGAGACGTACACCAGGGAGATACCCTGAGTCCTCTTCTATTCTGCATCTCACTGCTGCCATTATCTGTCACTCTACGCCGAACGCCTAGATATAAAGCCGGACGAGTCTCCAACCGCGTACACAAAGTCACACATCTATTCTATATGGATGACTTGAAAGTGTACGCGGCAAGTCTTGAGAGACTCCGAGCAGCCCTAGAGGTTGTGTCCGAGTATACTAGTGCGATAGGCATAGAGTTTGAGTTGGACAAGTGCGCAGTTGCCCACTTAGTAAAAGGAAGATCGCCGAACTGGAATAATAATGTCGAGCTTACAGACAGGAGCATCATAAAACATCTGGATCCTGGAGAGTTATACCGAGATCTTGGACAGGCACAATCTCCATTACAGGACGTGTCTATCATCAAAGATACTCTCTGCAGTGAGTACAAGTGGCGACTTAACAGAATATGGGGCTCTGAATTATCAGGCCCTAACAAAGTCAAAGCCACTGATATGCTCGCTGCCCCAGTCTTGCTATACTCATTCGGAGTTCTTGAATGGCTCCGAAAAGAGCTCAAAGATCTAGACATTATCACGAGGAAAGTGATGACATTATATCGAAATCATCACCCGCGATCTTCTGTCCAACACCTATACTTCCCCCGTGATCTGGAAGGGCGTGGACTACCAAGTTTGGAGTGTCTACATGACAAGTTAGTGATAGACCTGGCCTATGACATCTATGAGAGCTCTGATCCTCTTCTCAAGTTCGTGAACAGCTTCGAACTATTGGGAAGGGATGCGTTCCTATACAGAGCAGCATATCAGGCAGCACAAAACCTCTGCTCAGCTTTCGACCCTAGCAGCCCAGACGGTCTAAGGCTCTTGCAATTGACAAGAGGGCAGCGGAAGGTCGATAGAAAAACAACCAAGCAGTTAAAACTGCTCGACGAATATGTGGCAAAGTCCTTACATGGTGTGTTTTACTGTCATCTTGAAACACAGGACTTGTCACACCAGCTGACTTTATACCTTAAGTCAGCTGGCTTGTTCTCTGTGACCGAAGGATTCATTATGGCCTGCCAAGGTGGTGTATTTTCCACCCTCGCCTATCCGCGTGATGTTGTGCACGAGCAACTCGAGGACACAAGATGCCGAGTTTGCCGAGGTGATGTAGATGAGACGCTATTTCATGTGTTATTGGCTTGTCCGATATTAGCGCGCTTAGCCTACATTCACCAGCATAACGCCGCCTTAAGATTGCTGTATTACCACCTTCGGCACTCTTATGGAATAGATGAGACACCAGTGCTGCACTATGTGCCCGGTGAAATCAAGTCAGTCGTTGAGAACGGGAGAGCAAAAATTCTTCGGAAATACCCGCTCTCTACGCCTCAATATACGTGCAAAAGAAGACAGTAAACAGGAACGCTACAGAGAGCTCATGGAGGTCATGGGAAATGTCTATCACGAATACACAGCGCACGTGATAGTCCTGGTGATTGGCGCCCTCGGAGGGTTGAGGGACCGCTTTCTGACAAAGCTTCGAATAATACCACTCTGCCGTAGTCAGGCTGAGATTCTCGCAGCTCGTATGCAGAAAGCGGTCATCCTCGGGTCTCTCCGAATCCTAAGACAACTGTAAATAAATGACTGGACAGCTGCAGCCCCGACTTACCCTCAAGCCTAAGGGAGTCGGGTGTCTGCGAGATAATCCCGTCTGGTCAGGCTCCAGGTGGGTCAGAGCCCTGGGATTCCTGGCCAGTAATCCTGACGAATCGCAAGATGAAAATAATAATTTGGAAATTCATAATTTAAAAAAAAATCGTAATTATTTGCCTCCTCATTGGTTCGCTGCAATAATGTGAATTTAAGATTTGATTTTAAGAAATGTCATCACTAATAAATTTATATATGTTCAATGTTTTCTCTAATAAACTACAAGTCTCACAATTCGGGAGCTATTTAATTTATGTTTTTAAATAAATAAATTCCTTTGAAATTTTTCATCGTTTTCAAAAGTAAAAGGGAAGAGGGGGATCTATTACTATCTAACAACAATCGAATGTCCATCGTAATAATCCTCGATTTATTTTAAGAATGATGTATCAGTATTTCTAAAACTCTCAGTCGAGTAAGATCATTCTTTCATTCAAAAAATGAATGCTGTTGTGGTAAACGTACAAGGTTATACCTTTATGGATAGTGAGTTTGTTGTTAAAGAATTTTTTATCATCTCTTTGAGTAATTTCCAAGATAAATCATTAGAACGTACTGTGTTGTTTCAACCTCCACAAAGTTTTGCATCTTTAGAGTGCGATTATCAAAATCAAATTTCATGCGATACTTATGCTATTCATCGAATTGATTGGGGATGTGGTGAAGTTCCATATGAAATATCAAACATCTATATTAAACATCGGGAAAATATCTCCAATAAACAAAATATGTATCGTTTGTTCCGAGTCAACTATAAATATAGTCAAAAACATCTACACGTTGAAGAATATGCGTTTCCATATGATTGTGCCAGACTCGCTGTACAGATGCAATGGTTCTATATAGATAAATTCATAAACTTAACATCAAGACAAAATTTTCTATCTCTACTGTATTTAAACTTGGGGAGTAAAGCTCAGATGGAAACCGAGGACATTTTCGAACTTGGCTTGCAAACAGTGGTGACCAATGCCTACAATGAAATCGATTATGTTTGGAAAAAGCTACGGTTTGCATGGAAACACCATCCGCTGATAATTGGATACAAGCGATGCTTTGAACATTTTCATAAAGATTCAGCGGAAGTTTTTAAATTTAGAAAAGATTGTTTGATATGTACTTATGCTACAAATCAATTTGTATAAGAAAAATAATTAAATAAATATTATATAAAAATAAAAATTATCTTCTTCTTCTTCTCATCGCCTAATACTTATTATACAAAGATATATAGAAGGAAATGAATAAGGTTCTTTTTATATAAAAATGATAAAACATAAATATGGTTACATAGACTTTTTATTTAATCTTACACAAATGTTAAAATGAATTATAAAATATACAATACTTTTCACTTATATGAAATTATACTTGTATAAAATTATTTGATACTGGTTAATAAATTGAATAGTTGGAGGTGTCTTTCTCTGAGGTTAACTGTAACAAAAATAGAAAAAAAAAACACAGAAGTTATTTAAAAATAACTTTAATTATTTAATAGCAGATAAAATAAATTTTAAATACTTACAATTGATCATAAGACAGGAACATATTCATAAAAGAATTCAAATGAGTTACATTTAGTCCCATAATATACCATAGATGAATGATTATCCATGCACGCCTTTTGAAAATCGAGTAATTTTCTTTTATCATCTGCCACCAACACTTTGACAATTCTCTTTGGCAGAAAAACTCTAAACTCATCATCCAGAGTTGCCACAGCGGCATCAGCGTACTTGGTTGCGATCAAATTTAAATCCGTCACTTTGTATCTTTTCGATAATTCCAGATCCTTCATTTTCTTTGTTTCGAAGATTTGTTTGGCTGAATTGTTGAATTCTGATAGATCCATTGTTGTTTACAAAGGAAAAAGATATTTTTCAGCTCACAAAGTTTATAAAATATCAAACAACTTTACGTTTGAGAGTGATTTTTTAACCAAAAAGTCTCGGCATTTATAGCACTTTTCACCCCGATTTTATCCCTACTATTTTTAAAATTTACCCTTTCTTTACTAACTCAAGTTTTCAACTTTTCCTCCTCCCACGCATTTTTGGAGGAAGCGTTGATGCACTTTCCAATGATGCCCATCCAATGCATCGGCTTTTCCCTTTTCCTGCATGCTCGAGGATTGAGCAGTTTTCTTAGAGATCATTGGCGTTCTGCTCTTATGGGAAATGTTTGTAGGATGCACCTTTTAATCATTTTATATATTTTCCAATAAATATTTGATTTTTTTTTATATCTAAACTGGTAGGTGAACAAAGATCAAAATACGAATATAACCATCATGCTACACAATTTTCACTCAGTCAAAATGAGTGAGTATACGATGAACTTCAAGCGAATTAATAATCTCTACGATCGCTTACTTTTACAATTAGAGTCAGTTTGTCGTTATTTTGGACAACAAGAGCAGTGCGATGGAGATGAAGTTAGACGTTGGCTAGATTTAGCAACTAAATTTTTAATATTAGTGAGGAATAATTTAAAATATCCATCATTACCATTATCTCAAAAGTTTAAATTTTCAAACATTATTGTGAGAGTTAAACTCGCATCTGAAAAACTTGGAGATTTAATACCGAAAATCCATGAAGATTATAATTCTTTTAAAAGTGTTGACGAGGAACTTGGAAAACTAGTGAGTGGTGGTAGTGTGATAAATAATACATTATCTGCATTAACAACATCCTCAAGATGAACTCCATCTGCTACAATAACATCTTCAAGATCAACTTCATCTGCTGCGACAACGACAGCGTCCTCAAGAGCAGCATCATCATCATCATTATCGTCACCTTCATTATCGACGGCAGTACCATCAACATCATTATCATCAGCAGCATCAGAGGCAACATCATCATCATCGTCAGCAGCAGTATCTACCGATCTCAAATGGATTGATCTGGACAGCGCTTTCAAAAATCGTCCAAGTGCTAATTTGTGCTTTATATTATGTTTCAAATGTGCAAGCTAATTCAAAATTAGCTTGCACATTTGAAAATATAAAACAAGAATCGATAGTGTATGAAAAAAAGCGTTTAAAAAACATGCAAGTACTTCTTTCAACAGAGTTTTCAGATCATTTTTTCAATTGTACTATACCGCGTTTATTAAAAGATACAGAAGAGTTTCAAGAACGTGACTCGGGGTGGTCAATGGTTATAATCGATAGCTTACAGATAAATATAAATAGGTATACACCTTTGAAAGGATCGAGATAAAAAAGAAAAGTGAAAAAAAGAAAATAAGTACATATTGTGATCTTCCTAGTTTAATAAAAAAAAAAAAGCTGTTTTAAACATAACAAATGAGACAAATGAATACTGTTTTCTCTGGTCAGTTCTCGCTTCGTTACATCCAGTATCAAATGCACGAACAAGTAATCGTATATCAAATTATAACGAACATTTTGATACTTTAAAAATAACAGGAATCTTATTTCCAACACCATTAAGTGATATTTGTAAATTCGAGAAATTAAATGGTTTAATTATTAATGTTTACGATTTAGATGATGATAATGACATTGCACCGGTTTATTTAAGCAAATATTATGATATCAATAAAAATCGTATTCATTTTTTGATTTTTAAGATAGGAGTAGATGAAAATAAAAAACCAGTTTACCATGACTCGCTTATTAAATCTCTTTCTCGTTTAGTATCAAGTCAACTATCGAATCATAATGGGAGTATAGATCTTTGTGACCGTTGTTTAAATCACTTTTACACAAAAAAATCCTATGATTAACATATTCAAGATTGTATTAATTTCAATGATCGTAAAATTTCATTCCCTGAAGAAGAAAATTTAAAAATGAAATTTAAAAATTTTATGTATTAAGAAAAAGTATTTTTTGTAATTTATGCTGATTTAGAGTGCATTATTGAACCTCCTATTGAAGAAAGATCTAAACATATACCATGTAGTATAGCTTTTTATATACATTGCTCTTATAATGATTCACAATGGAGATTTGCTCTTAAACGTGGAGAAGATTGTATAAAATGGTTTATGGCAGAGTTATATGAATTTTTTAAAAAATATAAAGAAATAATTGATAATACCAAGTCAATGGATCCATTGAGTGATGAGCAGCAGTCTTATTTTTATACAGAAAAAAATTGTCATATATACGAGAAACGCATTGAACCCAATCAACCGAGAGTTCGCGATCATTGTCATTTAACAGGAAGATTTCGTGGTCCAGCTCATAATGAGTGTAATTTAAATTATCAAATAGAACGTATAATTCCAATTGTTTTCCATAATTTATCAGGATACGATTCACATTTTCTTATTGAATCATTATCATTATCAGATGTTCCCGGTACTATAAATATTATTCCTATTAATAAAGAAAAGTATATATCATTCTCCAGAGTAGTTGAAATCGATAAAAATAGAAATTCAAAAAGATCAAATGATGATAATGATGAAAAAAAGAAAAAAAATTCAAACATACAGCTTCGTTTTATAGATTCATTCCGTTTCATGAGCTCTAGTATCGATAAATTATCTAAATTTTTATCTAATGATGATAAAATAATGACGCGTAAAAAGTTCCCCGATGAAGAATCATCTAAATTAGCAATATGCAAAGGTGTATTTCCATATGAATATTGTAATAATTGGGGAAAACTTGAAGAAGACCAATTACCTGATAGAAAATTTTTTTTTCTTCACTAAATGATTCAAATGTAACCGATGAGGATTATGAGCATGCGCTCAAAGTATGGTCCCACTTTAATACTAAAACATTAGGTGATTATTATGATTTATATTTGACCGTAGATGTTTGTCTTCTAACTGATATATTTGCAAATTTTAGAGTAAATTTTATGAAAACTTATAATTCAGATTCTCTACATTACTACACAGCACCTGAATTAGCATTTGATGCTATGCTTAAATACACAGATATTGAATTAGATATTTTATGTGATGCTGAAATGGTATTATTTATAGAAAAGGAATTAGAGGTAGAGTATCACAATGTTGTAATAGGTATGCCGAGGCGAATAATGAATGTATGGGTGACGATTATCAGCCAGATAAAGACGTATCATATTTGATGTATTATAATGTAAATAATTTGTATGGAGCAGCCATGAGCTCTTCTTTACCATATGGTTCTTTCGAATGGTCTACGACAGAAATCGATATTATGACAATAAGCGATGATGATCTTACTGGTTACATACTGGAAGTTGATTTGGAATACCCTCAAAGTTTATTTGAAAGACATAAAGATCTGCCCCTTTGCCCCGAGCATTCTCGAGCACCTAATCCAAAGCATTCCAAATTAATGACAACTTTATATGATAAAAAAAATTATATTATTCACCGTAGAAATTTAAAACAATGTATCGAATTAGGATAAAAAGGAACAAATATACATAGAGTTTTGAAATTTAAACAATCTCGATGACTAAAGCCATATATAGATTTGAATACAGATAAAAGAAAAGAAGCGAGAAATGATTTTGAAAAAAAGTTAATGAATGATACTGTTTTCGGTAAAACTATGGAAAATGTTAGAAAACATAGAGATGTAAAACTTGTTACAGAATGGAAAAAACGTTACGGAGCGAATTATTACATATCTAAACCTAATTATCATTCTAGAGTAATTTTTAATGAAAATTTAGTTGCCATAGGACTTAAGAAAATGAAAGTAATTTTTAATAAGTCTTTATAAATTGGATTCTGTATTCTCGATATTGCAGAAAATTTATGTTTAAGATTTTCATTATAATTATATTCTTCAAAAATATCCTCTTGAACAAGCTAAGTTAATGTATACTGATACTGATAGTTTAATATATCATTTTAAAAATCCCGATATCTATAAACATATGAAAGAGGATATAGATAAATTTGATACTTTAGAGTATAAGAAAGATAATATATGCCGTAAATTCATTTCATCTTGACGAAAGAGAATGAGAAAATTTACATTATCCCGTATTAGATGTTTTGGGATTCTCGCATAAGTTTGACAAAGATAAAAACTATCAACATCTTTGTGACGACCCATACAAAAATATGCTCGAACATTATCTTGCTTCTTACAAGCTATATCATCAAATATCATAGTGGAATTAGGTTGAGCATCATCTGTCTTTACAACTTGTTCATTATCATTGAATGGAAAAAAACCAACGTCATCAATTGGCTCGAGTAGTTTCTCCAAGTATTTATACTTAGGTTGATTAAATGATTTAGAACACAGATAAATATTTTCAAATCTTAATCCATTTGGATGAGTGATGAGAGCCAACAATGCATTTGTTTTCCCACAATTAGACGGTCCACAAATAACTGAGCGTATAGTATTTGGTAATAATTCACGATGACGTTTAGTCTTTGTATTTTTTTCCATTGGTATAATTTCATCAATATTGTCTACAGATAATTCCAAATCTTGTGGTTTTAACTCCATCTCGATAATAACTAAGCGTAAAGATTTAAATATCGACACTTTTATAGTTTTTATTTAGTTAAATAATGACTGTTAAGAGAAAAGCATCTAAAAAACGAGCGGGAATACTGAATAAAGTCATTAATAATTTACCTATTGAATTACATATCCCAGGCTGTCAATTTTGTGGACCTGGTACAAAATTACAACAACGATTGGCTCGAGGTGATCAAGGAATCAATCCATTAGGTACTGCTTGTCGAGCACATGATATAGCATATTCTCAGAATAGAGAAAATCTATCAGAGAGACATTTAGCAGATAAAATACTTGCTAAAAAAACGTGGCAACGCGTACTAGCTAGGGACGCTGGCTTGGGTCAAAAAATAGCAGCGTGGAATGTTGTGAATGCTATGAAACTCAAGATAAAATTTGAAATGGGATTACAGAAAATGAAAGTTAACTCACGAAGGAAGAGAGTGAGTGGTGGAAAAATAAAGAAAAAGAAAAGCTATATGGTTCATCATTATATAAAAACAATGATGCGATACGTATAGCTGTACAACATCAAGATTTATGTATTTACTATGTAACAGTTTGATTTATATCACTGGTAAATTTACAAAAGACAATGAGAGTGCTTCATCAAACAGATCTTTACTTGCAACAATGTTTGCTTGTTTTTTATTAAAAGAAATGATTCCCATGGAAATTTTGACGTTATCGTACTATTAAAATTATTATTTGGATTTGCTGAGGATTATAATCAAGATATTGTTAACTGTAAACATGGACTAATACTCATAAAAGACAATACTGACTTAAATGCAA